GGATATAAGGGCCGTTGGTTGTTTTGTCATCACCACAGTACCACTCGCCTTTGGTGAAGCAGACGGCGGCCATCACCACCGCTATTCGTCTCATGTGGCAGGGGTTAATAGTGCATCATCGCCGAATCATTTAGTAACCCGACACCGACTAAAGGATCATCATGGGCGGATCGTATTGTAGCACGACGGTGACCATGCACTATGACCAGACAGTTCATACGCTAAAGCGATGGTGATGTTTGCCTCAACACAGGCGGGTCATGCTCCAATGCGATGGAATAAGGATCTGATCACGAATGGAGCATAAGCCATACGGCGGTGTTAGTGCATACCCACACACGCGGGTCGTGCTCCAATGCAACAAAAGTAAGGATCTTATCACAGATGGATGATAAGCCAATATAGCGGTGTAGTATACCCCCTAGTCGGTCTCAAATACCGACGGTGATGGCTATGAGTATCACTGCCCACAGCTTACTGCCGAGGCTAAAATTGGATTGCAATATGGGTTACGACGCGGCTGTGAAAGGTGCGAATATAGTAGTGTCACCACAGCTGGTGCTTGCCCAAGCGCATGGCGAAATGCCTTGGTGGCTACTCCGATGGCTCGGCGCGGAGGCGATCATGGCGTTGGCGTTGACGAGCTCATAGTGAGGGAGGAGAGGGGAGAGGAGGAGAAAAGAGGGTGTCATGGGGTCCCATGGTCGCATCATGTCACCATTTACCTCTGATGGGAGCTGGGTGGAGCTGGCAGGGCGTTGGTTGACGCCACAACTGCCGCCACGAGGTGGACGATGAAGGCGATGTCTGAGGCCCAGTGTCAGCGAGAGAGGAGAGGGGAAAGGAGGGCGTGGTGCATGCGTTGGGCGATCTTGAGCCACACTGTATTCTTGTGCGCATTGGTGAAGTGCCTCATGCAGTTGAAGGGAAGGGGAGAGGAGAGGGAATGGGCTGCTGCTTGAGCCCAAGTGGCGTTTCTTATTTTCCTTTCTCTTATCTATTTCCCAGATCATATATGCATATGTTTAAAGGATTTTGAATTCAAATTTGAATGCATGGGTATGCAAAAGTGTACCACCATAAGCTGAACAAGGCAAGCAAACATTCACACACAAAGTTTCACACATCAAGTTTTGTTTCCTATGTTAATTTATTTTGTAAATATTATCTATGTTGGTTATATATTCTAGTTCCTATGCAAAGTTTTTAAAAGTTCAAATTTTTAGTGATTTTTAAACTAGGTCAAATTTTTAGGGTATTACATAGTCGTCTTTCCTGCACATTATATTCCTTCCTCAAGTGGTGGCAGAGGGTGGTGTGTGTGTTGGGGGAGGGGAGGCCCCATGGGAGGCAAAGTGGAGGTTGTGGGAGGCGGAGGCAGAACTACATGGTGTGGAGGCGACCTCCGCGATAGATACAAACTGCAATGCAAGGACCTGGCCAAGCGAATCGACACAGAGCGCTAGAGTTCCATAGGCTGCCTGATCGAGCATTGGTCATTAATTATCGATGAGGGACAAGTGGATCGACGCCGGAGCGGACGAGCCTAAGGCAATCTCCTCAGTGTGGGGTGTTGCCCACAGCCATCTCCATTAACGACACCATGCATGGTAGTACTAGTGAGGAAATGCGGACGGGTCTACCGAGGAGAGATAGAGAAAGATTGTACATTACATGATAAAGTGAGGGTACAATAGATATTTTTGAAAGGATCTATGGATGGCTAGAGGAGGGGTGAATAGCCTAATAAAATTTTCTACAAGCTCAAAACACTTGGCAAAATGTTAGTACAAAAGATGGTCCTAATATATAGCCTCTACTTTGCCTGGCCTATACAATACAAAGAAAGCCCCTACACAAGTCTTGTTGTAAGAACAAGTAATTAAGCATTCAAACAAGTAAGCAACTAGACCTACTACCAAGCAACTAGTAAGCTAACAAGAAGAGCAACGACTACACTACTCACTAGGACTAACAGGGGCGAAGCTAGAGAAAATGGGTGGATGTGCACAACTTCATCACCAATACAATGACCCATATGATATTCAAACAAATAGCATAACTAATCGCAATTTTTAACATCAAAATTCAACTTCTAGTAATGGCAATATGATTTTGGTCAAAACATAAACAAACTAGTAGGGGCAAGGGAAATAACACTCACCATTTATAACAAAATAAATACGGCATTGATCACTTTACTGTAGTGATTGAAAGAATGCCAAAACGATGAACAAAAGATGTCCCATATAGCAAAATATGTGACCCAGCCTAAATAGAACAAATAGGTCAATCATTTAGCAAATAAAATGTAGAACTATCCATTGAAAGTAGATGCATTGCATTACCTTCCTGCGCTAGTGGAGATCATGGATGGCGACTTGAGTGACCTTCCTACGACCCTCGAGTTAGTGATACTGAATATGATGGTCGAGTGGACGACATGTGGTACTAGCTATGTCTGGGGTGAAGTCCTTACAGTGAACACGAGTATCAGAGCAATGGTTGTAGAATTCTACTTATGGCCCTACTACCAAAACTTTGTCTAGATCGAATGTGGTACTCCAACTCCTAAAAGTAACTCTATACTTTAGGAGCAGCTTCTAGGTTATCTTAATCCTTTCCCCTAACAATATGAGCCCAACACACATCAAATATTTCTGGTACTAAATACCAACAATTTCATGAAATTTATTAGTCTTAGTCGTATTGTCATTCAATCCACCAAAACCTACTTCGGACCTAGATGTACTTTTACTCTTGGTTGCTATTATAGGTGACAACCATCCGACTAAAGATGATATATATGGAAGAGGGCACGTATGGGAGAGTAAGAGGAGGTTATTATATGTGGGCCGGTATGGTGTGTGTATGTGTATGCGTTTGACTTGTACTTTAAAAATATCTAGGTAAGAATTAGAATTGTTTGGTTGCAAATGGGATCTTATTAATCATTACGTTTCGTTATCTCGGTTTACCGATGATCTACGTAAAGTTACATTACAAAGACCGGAAAAGGTAAAGGAAAGATTTCAAAAAAGAATTAGTGGTTGCAAAGAAAATCATTTGTTTGTGGATGGCACATTAGTATTGATTAATTCAGTTTTGTCTAGTCTAGCTATGTTTATGCTATCTTTCTTTGAAGTCCTAAAGAGAATCTTAAAAAAGTAGAGTATTATAGATCCAGATTCTTTTGGCAAAATGATCACAAAAAAAAAGAAATATGTGCTAGTTAGATGGCCTATTTTATGCCAACCAAAATAACAAGGTGTCTACAATAGATTTAAAACTTAGACATACAAAATAAACGTCTCTTTAACAAATGGCTTTTCAAGTTGCATAATATAAACAGGGGGCTTGACAAAAAAATGAATAGACAAATATGTTTATGATAAAACTCTTTCACAAGTTTGTAAGAAGGCATGCAATTCTCACTTTGGATGAGTTTTTATTGATAGGAGCGTCTGCGATATGTGCAATCTGTTGGTCTATGTGGCTAACAAGAATGAAGTTGTATTTGGCGCAAATGTCAACCAAAACCTCTTTCGTAGGTCCTTTTTAGGGGAACGTATTGGCTTCGATCTTGGGTCCAATTGCAACAGTTTGAGGAACAGAAGGAGCCAAGGCTAGACGCTTCTTCACTTCATTTGATGGCATTTTATTTCAAGATTTGAGTTGTGAGTTGAACTATGCAAACTCATCCCAGTCTTTATGGTGTGAAATTTGTAATAGTGTAGTCGCACTCCTCTATCCAAAGGGATGGGGCCGGATATCTTTCTATTTATTATCTTAAAAAAAGACTTATATTGGAAATCCAAATAGAGTTACACGGATCACTATTATCTAGGAGTAATCTGGCTTCTATAGGTACCGACCACTGAATTAGCACCCAATGATGCCCACCGTAAGAATAAGGGCTTCTCCAGTGGGCTTCTGAAAAGCGACTCATGGGCTGAGGTGGCAGGCCATGAGTCGATTCACGCCACTGGAGCACTCGACTCATCCAATGAGAGAGATCGAACCGAATCACCTGCGTGAGTCGATTCATCGCCGGTCTAAAATAATTAAAATAAAGAAGCACGAACGGCTGATGACTTCTTGTGACAGAGCGGCTGGACAAAAGCAAGTAGGAAACTGCTTTTTTATTTGGCAACAGGAAGTAACAGTTGTAATAATTTTATTTATTTGTGCATAGGACCCACCGAGCTCAAAAATCGACTCATCAAAAACTGACGTGGCCGTCCTTTTTTTTTATGCATCGACTCACCACTAAAGATGTCCTCAGTAGACATACCTACTGGCGTTCAAAGTGTATATGGGTGTCCATTAACAGAGCGACCAAGCACACATAGCCTGAAAAGGGAATGTTACCTCACCTCTTACATTCCCTCCCACAGCATATATACACACATCCCTGTCGAAAGTGTCATTCTCCCACAGCAATCTGCCCCGAGAAACACCCCCAAAAGCGCGTGCGTGGAGAGGGGGGGAAAGAGAAGAGAGGCCGGGGACGAGGGGGGAGAAAAAGAAAGCGGAAAGGAAAGCAAAAGGAGATGCATGGTGTGGGAGAAAAGACCAATCTACATATCTTCCTCCCTAGACCACACCACCACCTCACCTCCCAGCAACAAGCTACTACAAGCCTCGCCCCTTTTTCACACGGCACACTACACATACAAATACAAACACACACTCCTGTCCTTTCCACTCCAAGTTTCGTTCCAACCCTCTCTCTCTCTATCCGCCTCAGCCCCTCCCCCCTTCTTCTCTCAACTCCTGCTAGCTCTCTCTCTCACACAAACACTAGGTAGCAAAGCTAGTTGAGCTAGGCTCCTCGCTTCCAAGCGAGAATTCCGGCGGCCCTCCTCAATTTCCATACTCTCCCCCCAACCAAATCATACGAAGCCATACTCTCCTCCGCCGATCCCTTCTATATACGACGACGAGAAGAACACCAGCCGGCGGGCTTCTCGTCATACACCTCGGGAGAGATCGAGAGAATGGAGCTGTTCCCAGCGCACCCGGACTTGCAGCTGCAGATCAGCCCTCCCACAGCCACCAAGCCAATGGAGCTAGGGTCTTGGAAGAGGGCTCTAGACACCACGTCGCCTGCAACTACAACAGCGGCGGCGGCGGCGGCTACTGCCACGGCCACCACGGCCCCCTCCCTCGCCTTCGTCACCTCGGCGCCGACGACAGCCGTGGGATACCACGCGGCGGTGGCGGCGGCGGGCGCGCACCACCATCATCATCAGGTGCCGACGAGCACGCACTCCCACCTGGGCCTCCCGTTCTTGCATTACACCCAGCCCATCCTCCCGGAGGGCGGCGGCGGCGGTGGCCTCCGCCGGGACCTGGCCTCCATGAGGCCCATCCGGGGCATCCCCGTGTACGACACCTCGCAGCCGCTCCCCTTCCTGCAGAGCCACCCGCACCACCACCACCACCACCACCACCCGCATTGCTACGACGCGATCGGCCACGGCGCCGGGCCGAGGTCCCCCAAGGCCGCGCTCCGTCTCGCGGGGGCGCCGGCGAAGCGGGGCGCGCGCGCCCCCCGGATGCGGTGGACGACGTCGCTGCACGCGCGCTTCGTCCACGCCGTCGAGCTGCTCGGGGGCCACGAGAGTACGCGCTACACGCTAGCTCCTTCCTTAGCGGCCTAGCAGTAGCGCTAGCTAACTAGCACGTCGCTGCTGCTAGCCTGCTGCTGCTGGGTGAATGATTGCGTGCTGACGATGCTTTTGCTGCTGCCTGTATGTGCAGGAGCTACACCCAAGTCAGTTCTTGAGCTAATGGACGTGAAGGATCTGACCTTGGCCCATGTCAAGTCGCACTTGCAGGTGAGGGGAATAATCGGCTACTCATGAATTCTATCTATCCGATCCCTTGTACTCCGTATATATATATATAATCGGTTAGCAGCTAATCTCAGCTAACGACCCTCCTCGTTCTACTAGCTTCATTCGTTCTCTACTATCTCCCCTACTATGACTATGAGCATGTTTTGCATTCTTCTTGCACGTCCTTCTTCTTCTCTCTCTCTATACTCCTACATATGAATGTTCATCCCCTCGATCGCTAACGTACAGATCTTGTAGTAGAATTTTTTTTCCTAAATAAGAGTACAGACTAGACCTCATCAATATGGAAAAGAGAGAATACAGTACGTTGTACTTACATAAGTACTGTACAATATATATACCAACAAGCTATACACTCCTTTAAAAAAAACAAGCTATACACTCATTTCTTGCATGATAAAGTTGACCTCATTTTCACAGTTTCACTGCTTGTACTTGCCGGTAGCTCTCAGCTCATGCGGCATGGAATAGGAGTAGGGTCATTTTACACTTTGACTTGCCGATATGGAAGCAGTAAAAATTTCTCTCCCCCGGCTGTGTATCACCACCCCCATATAGATATATCCTTCCACCACGAGAGGAAAAGCGCGATCAGTGCTAGCAGCAGCTTGGAAGAGGGAGACGAGGGGTTTGCATTGTCGCCACCGTAGCTGTAGCTGTAGCTTTTTCCACGGGGCCGGGCGCATTGCAGCTTTTCAATAAAACCCCGAGCGAGATCAGCATCAGTTCGAGTGCTCAAAGCATGCAATGCAATGCGGCTTGCCATTAAAAGCCACACCGGAAGGAAGGGATCGATCAGCTGGGCCGGCCTGGATGGCATGGCGGAGTGCGCGCGGTGCTGCGGCGTCGCGCGGCGGCCGGCCGGGCGGATCGGGCCCGGCCATCGTCGTTTCGACGATCGATCCGCCATGCGTCGTGCGATGCGCACACACGCAGGAGCATGATGCAGGATGCAGGATGCAGCAGCCGGCCAGCCGAGCCGCAGCAGCATTGATATGCATACTGCCGAAGAAGGGGTGGCAAGTACAACCCAGCATCATTCCGCAATAATGAATCTTACCCCTTGGAGGAGCTGCTGAGCCATCAATGCCCCCGCTTGTGTTGTGCAGCCTTATTGTTTATTCATTCATTGGCCCTCCATTGACTTTAATTGTACCACTTCGATATTCCTATAGCTCAATCTTGCCAGAATTTTTTTTGCGCTCGATCGTCATCCTTGGATTTCTTTTCTTTTCTTGGCTGCAGATGTATCGGACCATCAAGACTACTGACCACAAGCCAGCTTCTGCTTCATCCTATGGTATGTACGAGGACGATGATCATACTACTACTACCCCTTGGTGTCAGTAACTCAGTAGTATTGCAGCAGCAGAAGCAGCTAGCAGCATGGGAAAAAAACTAATGTTTAATTACATGTAGACCGTACAAAGTTTGTGACATGCTAGTCGATCGAATATTTTGCAGGGCAAGCGGCTGCTAAAACGATCATCGATATCCCCGACGACAACCTGTTTGACCTCACCAACACCACCAGCGGGTCTGAGTCGTCTGCTCAGCACTCTAATCCTGACGGCAACGAGCATGGCTCCAGCATGTGTGCTCTCTGGTGCAACTCCTCGATAAGGTATACAGATATATCACGCCATTCTATTCCTTCGTGATCACCTCTTGCTGCGCGCATACTACCTCCTACCACTCCATCTAGATCCAAATTACATGCTTTCTACAATGTGCAGGAGATAGTGTTAGCAGTAGCAGCGAATCTAGCTAGAGATATTTTGATGAATGACATGACTGGGACTAGATTGGCAAATTGCTGCCGTGGTTGAGGTAGTAAAAAAGGGAAAGAGGTACCTACATTCTTGTGAAACTGCTTGTCAACTCGACTGTATAGGTCCAGGAGCAGGGATGTAGCTCAAAAGGCTGTGTATAGTGTTAAAAAGCACAAACAAAGTATTACCCGCAATATACAGTGTCTTACTAACATGTTTGGACTACCTCTAATCATATGAATGCATGTCTCAGACCTCTGCATGAAGTACGTGTATATTCTCAGAAATAAGCTGCTATATAGTATATACACTGCCGTACGGTGGAGTACGTACATACGTACTACCTACAGTCATTAGTATAACAATGTTCTAAAGAGCCAGTCAGCTAATAACGTGCACCGTCCAACATCTTTTCCGATTCAAACTAGTAGTGGTCTTCTTCTTTCTTTAGGTTCAAACTAGTCATCTTCTGGCCACTTTAGGCAAAACAATGGAGTATTCCTTTGTCTCATTTTCCTTGTTTACTATAACGACCACCTCCAAGTGCTCCCAAAAAGCACCAGGGGCTCGTACCTTTGTTCCATCTGCTCCCCATCATGCTGCAATGATCTCCCGAATATATTAAGTTACTAGATTTAATTATGGATATGCTAGGTAGCAATGGCAAAGTGCACACATTTTTCCGCTACTACGACATGAAACGGTGGTACATCATCGAATCTTGAGAAACTACATGAGAAACAACATGATATGTGCAATTTTCTGCTGGCTGCAAATGTGTATGTATGGTTGCAAGCACGTGTGCGCACTACAAATGAAATACGGTAATGATAACAGCGTAGCAGTGATGCGTCTATGTATCTATGTCTCAGCATATATGAACCTTCCTAACACCTACGGCAAGTATGTGCAGGCATTGATCAGTGTGCCATATCACATGGTAGATCAGAATTGACCTAAAAAAACATGGTAGATCAGAGTAGCATAAGCTAGTATATGTATGCACGACCTTTACCTCCAGTTAGTCCCTGATATGATAAAGTTAGCTTGTCATTTACAGCATCTTAACAGTGAAAGTATAGGTACGGTGTTGCATGCCCACTTTGTTCCCTGCTGCCTTCTTTTTCTCTCACATCAATGGACTCCCACTACGGATGAAAAGATATGGAGGAGGCATTTGATTCTCTCGATCAGCCCATGATAATCTTTTTCGATGATTGAATTCCTCTCCTTTTTCTTCTTTGCTCCAGCAGCAGCAAAGGGGCCTGGTTCCATGACAAATCAAGAGATGCCACTCCCGGCGACATCAAATCCTTCGAGGTACGCAGCCTTTTTTTCTCTAAACCAAGTCCATCATTATCTCCATTACCTCGCCGACGATGTCCATGATGCCATGCTAGTTAGTGCAACAGCGATCATTCCGTTTCATGTGCCTTTGGACCCGGCCTGCCCCTGTTGAGCTTTGATCAGTTAATGCATATTGTCGGCAGCTTGTATTTTGGAGCCATCAGTTAGTGCAGTTATCACATCATTTCCAATCTTTTAACCTCCCACTTTAATTTGTTTTTTTTTCTTTTTCACCTGATGTTTGCAGGACGTGCAATCACAAAGCCTTGACGATGTCTCTGACCTAAACTCATCGTCGCCGTTCCAAGTAGCTGGGATGTTTGGAGGCAAGAAACCGAACCTCGACTTCACCCTAGGACGGATATAATCCGCGCCATCGACATATCGATCAGTTGAACCAACCGAGATCGATAGGCCATGGATAAGAAGACAGGCTAGATCTAGCCGCATATATAGATTGATTTGCTTCTAAGCAGCCATATTTATGATCTGATGGTGCATATATACGCATGCATATGTGCCCCATATGGTCCTAAGCTAGTGAGGGAAGAACCAAAGCTTGAAGAAACGAAAAGAGAGGCTAGGAGTAAAGAATAAGAGATAAGACAACCGTCGATCCAGGAACAAAGCTAGCTAGCGCAAAAGGAGACGGGGAGACATTGGGGCGTGCGTGTGTGCTTGCTGTTGTGTGCGTGGTGTGGTAGATAAATAGCTCGATAGGCTTTATCAAAGGCAGCAGGCAAGGGCAAGAGGTAGCTTGCTTGCTTGCCTGCCTGCTGCTCATCAAAGGGCATATGTATGCATATGCTCATTGCTTGCTTCTGGATGTGGTGTACACATGCATGAGGAGAGAGGAGGTGTATTGTGTGTACCAGCAGACGCATGAGGGTACCTAGGTGTAGCTAGGGGCCGGTTGGCTGGCCAAGGTTTAACAAAAGGTTGCTTCATATCTTTTGTTATATATGCTTATGCCACACAAAGTGTGTAAAGAGAGGTAGCGCATATGTCATATATGCCTCCATGTATGCACGGACCATGGAGTATTCTTGCTCTCTGTTAGCTCCCAATCGAGGCAAGAATAGGTTCTTGCCCAGGATTGGGTGTATCATGCGTACAACCTGGTCGGATTTGTAGTCCTTGAGCGAAACAAAAGCTATATATGATCAACTGGTCCATATCAGGGAACATGGATGTTTCTGATTTTTATGATAATTTTTAGGCTAATTGATATTTCTCTCTAGCGCATCTTGTAAGAAGGAAACTCCATGAAATCTCCAATGGCAGCACCAACCTATAAAAACTATGACATAGCTAGTTTCCATACCTATCAAATCAAGTAAACACTACACATAAACCAAATTCCTAATGGATAGTTTCTTCAAAACTAAATTTTGTCCATCAAATGTCTTCTCTCTCATATCATCTACCAATCATATTTGTTTGTATCTTGGTTATATCATTCAAACATAGTTTCCCATATAAGAAACAATTTCTTTCTCCCTCTTCATTAACTATATAATGTCACATCAGTATTTTGCTTAGGTGGCATATACTAATCAATGGTCATAGAAACCATCTATTTCTGGGTTGGGAGTGCCCTAATTAGTAGATAATAGTAATTAATAGACGAGCTGACTACAATGCTCTCTCTTTCAATTAATTATAGTTGGGTTCGATTTCATTAAGGAAAAAAGAAGACCTACGACAGTAGCTATATGCAACTTTTCTTTCACTGGTGAAACAACTTATGCATACAAATTGGAATTAACTGCAGCTTAGCTTGTTATGGTTAGGCACATTGTGGTGGTCAAATCAGTCCGTAGCATAGGTGCTTACCCTTACGGCTATTTTTTTGTGTGATAGTAGTGAGGTGGCTGTTTGAAGATATATGTTAGTCTAGTTTCTCAAGTCCATGAGTTATGTGATTGCCTGTACGATGTTTCAGGAAATAAAACTTGATCTGTCAACATGAGTATGTTGATTTATTTTCTGATACTAACATGAATGTTTTTCCATCAAATGTTTTTGTTTGTGAAAGGACTTGAATCCTCTTGATGGTTATACACTTATATTGTATCGCACCATTGATACCCTGGACACAAATAATAGGGTCTCCGTGACACTATGCATGCGTAATATGCAGTAGAAGTACATAGACACAATCTTATACATAAGGTACATCAACACAATCCTACTATTACCGATTAGAGACTTTTTTGGAGACCTCCAAATTAATCCTTATAAGGAGGGATACTGTAGAGAAAAAACATCTAGAAACTCTTGAAAAAATAGAAACATTCGGCAATCAGTCCAGTAGACTCTACTTGTCACGGATAATAGTAGCAATTGTTTCGGTTCTATTTTTTTTTTTAAAAAATTGCCTACATATGCCATTATGAATATTTTTCTAAAATACCCCTTAAATTTAAATCTGAATTATCCACTTCTACCATTATGCCATTAGGAAAAAAATAAACTAAAGTAATCTCTTACATTTAAGTAACCTATATCCACATTAATAAAAATAACATAAAGTAACCCCACCTATTACACCATGAAAAATAATACAATGTATCCATCTAAATTCGCCACCTCTATGGTTATGAAAGGTAATATAAATTACCCCTAAAGTTACATTTAAATTATTAAAAATGAAAGCACTCTTATATATGCTTCTAAGTTATCCTCTTCTGACATTTTTATATTTAATATAGAAAAGGCTAATTCGAGGTATACATACAAGTGGTCATATATCGTCACTTAGATTGTGTATATATACATGTATGCAAGAAGAGATGATCCTATCAATTTCTATGTCAAACACAAATCAAGCCAAGGTTTCAAATAAACACATGTGAAAACAAATGAATAGAAATGGGAAATTATATAAAGTAATTTATGACTAAAGTCTATGAAACAGGATAAAAGGTAAGAGAGAATCTATATGAGAATACAAACATATTGGATAACAACTAGGATAGTGGATCTTGCGGATCAAGTGAACATGAATGCATGAGCGATAATTATATGTTTCTTTATTTTGGGAAACATGAAAATAAAATATTCCTTTAACGAATAATATACCAAATATTATTTGAATCTACATTAGAATCTATGCAATAATTTGTGTAAGTTATTACTTTAGAGGATTTATATTTTTTTACTCAAATATTATGATATATCTACATTAATAGTATTGTAAGCACTATTTTTTTTTGTTAGAAGACATTCAACACCTTAAGTAGTAGGAGAGGTTAGTGCAAAGTAAAGATAATACTTTTAGAGTAAATAGTAGTTATTAGGGTTAAATATTAATATTGTTTTGAGTTTAGCATCATTGCCGCCCCTCCTATATCTCACTCAACCTCCAAGCTCTTTCCCATCCCCTTCTAAGATTTTAACCCATGAGCATGGGGTATAGGAATAGGAACACACTCCCTCTATCTCAAAATAAGTATACTTCTAACATTCTTTGAGGATATATATCAATGTTATTTGAAAAATACTATAGTTTATCTCTATCAAAAGCTATTTAAGCAGGTAATGATGGCACTTTAGAAGTAGAGAAAGAACCTACTATAATTAGGTGGGCCATATCTAGAAGTCTAAGAAATGTACTCATTCTATGACAAATTTCAAATGCTAGAAGTGCACTTATTTTTTAGACTGAGGGAGTACGTCCATGGACTAGTGCAAGTACTCCCTTTGTCTCAAAATAAGTGTCGCTATGGTATTCGTGCCAGCAACTTTTACTAGGTTTATAAAAAATGCTAGCAACATTTATATCTCTAATTAAGTTTATTATGAAAATATGTTCAATATAACTAATGATATTAGTTATGTCCTATAAATATTAATATTTTCTTGTATATATATTTGGTTAAAGTTAAAAGTGATTAACTCATCGTTAAACGAGAACGACATTTATTTTGGGATGGAGGAAGTACGCATGAAGCAATATTGCAATAATATTTGTACGCAGCTAGCTGTATCCTGCAGTCGCATGTCAATTTGGCCATTTAGGGAACACCCCTATGCATGAAATGGATGCGGGCATGCAATTGTCTGCGTCAATCATAAATCATAAATAAAGGAAGAGGAGGAGGAGAGAGGAGAGAGCTGGAGAGGGGGATCGGAAGAAAAGAGGCGTGCGGCGTGGAGGAAGGAATTGAAGTCAAATCTCTTGAGAGGGTATAGGATCGAAAAGGACGATCGACGAGATGAGGGAGGTTGGGACGCCGGCGCTGCATGGTGGCATGGCATGCGGCTGATGGCTGATGCTGGCCCCGTGCCCAGCCCGATGGATCGATGGACGCGCCTGCTGTGATATATCGACCGACCGACTGAAGTGACCTCTCTTGGAAAAGCCTTGATACAACCACCACCGTTTACCCTCTTCACTAGCTTCCTACCTCTAGCTGCCTACTTTTGTTTCCTAGCTTCCCTGGCCGGCCCGGCCCTCCATGGATCGATATCCGTGCCCAGCTCCTCCGATCCATCCTCCCGTTTTTACCATTTCGAAACTACAGTACGTCACTACCAGTCTACCGGCCACTACTGGTGAGAGTACTCCAGTATTACCACCGAACCCGATCGATCAGCCTGTCTCTCTTGTATTTGCGTTTCTATAGCTTTGATCGTCGTCTCTGGGTCTATATATATGCACTCCAATTTTCGCTAGCTCTAACACACTGCGAATTTGCAGTACAAACGTTAACGACGGTGGCCGGCAAAGACTCGAAGGCGAGAGCATGCATATCGTACGCACAGTTGCATGCACGGATTAAGAGCAAGCGGTGGCCGGCAACCCGTACTACTGCAAGGCAAGCAGCACAAGCAACGCAGCGTAGCGCGCGCGCGCGCAGAGTCTGCAGACTGAGGAGAGCTAGCGAGCTTGCGTGGTTGACCGCGTCGCGACTGCCGCCTGGCGCGGGCCACGCCCATGCCCACCATGCAGGGTCACCGAAACGAACAGGGAGAAGAATCCAGCCAGCGTCTGAGCGTCGCGTGATTTCCGCGGGATCCATGCATGCCCTGATGCCCATGCCGGCGCACCCGTGCATGCAAGCGCAATGCAACGCAAGGGCCCCGCCGCCTCCCGGCCCGCGACGACACGACACGCACATGTGTACACGCGGCGCAGCCGCAGCCTCGGCCGGCGCTAGCGCTAGCTAGCCCTAGTACGGGCGGCTCCTGGCACCATGCAGCACGCAGCAGGTCTCGCCATGCACTGGGGCTTGGCTTTCTCTCTGGTCAGCTCGCACGCACGTACGTACGTACAGTGCCATCCATACGTGTGTGTCCGTGAGGGACGGGACCCGACCCGACCCGACCGGACCACGCCGCTTGCACTGCTCCGTTGCCTTG